CTATTAATATTAGAGTATGTAGACTTAAAAACTTTAACCCTTAGAGAAACTTATTATATAACATATGTATTGCCGTACTATAATGTATTAAAACAAGGTTATTCTTCATTAGGTTATATACACACAAAGGAAACTAAAGCATTATTATCCCAATTGGCTAAAAATAGAGTTCATACTGAGGAAACTAAAGCTTTAATAGCTAGAGCTTTGTATCCCCCCTCCGGGGGGATCAGGGTGAAAATAACCCATTTTACAATAAAACTCATTCTGAGCTTGCTAAGGCTCCGCCTCAGGAAAATAAAGTAAGAATCATTGAAGCAAAATCTGCTTATCCTGTTTATATTTATAATTCTTTTAAAAAGTTATTAATTATCTTCTCTTCTGTAGGAACCTTGGCTAAATTGATTAAATCTAATCATCCTACAATAGTTAATGTGATAAAAGAAGGAATTCTATTTAGAGGAGAGTGATATTTTACTAATATACCGAGCTTGCGCCTCAATATAGAAGATGCACCTTTAATAACGGACTGAAATTCTAAAGAATCTGAGGAATTAATTTTAAATATAAATAATAACAGTCAGATTAGGAAAGCAGTCTTTGTATATGATATAAATAAGAATTTTATTGCTAAGTATGATGGAGTAATGGAAGCCCAAAGAGCTTTAGGCATAAGCCATAGTACAATCAAAAATTATGCTAAAGTAAATGGTATCTATAAAGGTTATATATTTAGATACTAAAGATTAAATGATCAAGAAACTTTTGGTTCGTATACAAACTATAATCCTTTTGGGTTACTTATAGGTAGTAGGAGATACTTTGGTCTCATTCTTCGCCTTTAATTTTTGTATTATAAGTAAGTGGGTTATTATTATTTTTGGGTTCATTTTTTTTATTTAATATTAAGAATAAAGAATATACTTAATGCTTTGGACAAATTAAAACCTAATAAAGCATTAAAGATTTATACAAACTTTTATAATGGGGCGTGCCTCCGAAAAGAATTGTATAAAGAATTTAAGGGGGATCGTAAGGGATATATTTACATGATTGTAAATAAATTGAATGGAAAGTGTTATGTAGGAAGCACAAGATCAGTTAAAGTTAGATTATTTAATTATTTTAATTTAGCTCTACTTGAAGCACAGAAAAGAAGACCTATTTCCAGTGCTATTTTAAAATATGGGTTGGTTAATTTTGCTTTTATAATTATAGAAGAAGTGAATTTAGAAGTAAATAATCTAGAGGAGCGCGAAACTTTTTGAATTAAGTTAATTAATCCAGAATATAATGCTATAAAAGACGCAGCTAGAAATTTAAGTATACCTCATTTAATCGAAACTAAATTAAAGATTTCAAAAAATAGATCTTCTGGTGTTGTATTTATCTATGATGAATTTAAAAAATTACTGGTTATAGTTCCTTCTTTAACTTCACTTGCTGTATCTTTAGGTAATCGTTCAATTACCATATCTCTAAAAAGAGCTATGGAAAATGAATCTTTATTTCGTTCTTCTTGATATATAACTAAATATCCCTTAAATGAAGATGAAAAACCTTTAATGGAAGCATCTTCACCTGAATATTCTGAATTAATAGAGAAAATGAAGTCCCAAAAACATATTAGGAAAGCTATCTTTGTATTTAAAGATGGCGAGTTTATATGTAAATATGAAGGAATAATGGAAGCCGAGAGTGCTTTGAATATTTCTCATGATACAATAAATTCTAATATTGAAAAGAATACCACGTACAAAGGATATAGGTTTAGTTTACATCGTATTTAATTTACGTTAAACTAGACAATACTTATACGTGAGTGGTGTGGTTTTAGCTAACGCATCTCTTGATATAGCATTCCACGATACTTACTATGTTGTTGCTCATTTTCACTATGTATTAAGTATGGGTGCTGTATTTGCGATGTTTAGTGGATGATACTTCTGAGTTCCTAAATTATTAGGATTAAATTACAACTTAATGTTATCTAAAGTACAATTCTGAATTCTTTTCATTGGGGTTAATTTAACTTTTTTTCCTCAACATTTCTTAGGTCTACAAGGAATGCCTAGAAGAATAAGTGATTACCCTGATGCTTTTGCAGGATGAAATTTAATAAGTAGTTTTGGATCTATTGTTAGTGTGGTTGCTGCTTGATTATTTTTATACATTGTCTACAGACAATTGTTAGATGGTAGAGTAGCAGTGAGAAACCCTTGAATGGTACCTCAATTTTACACAGACACTTTACAAGCTCTGTTAAATAGAAGCTCTCCTAGTTTAGAGTGATCATTAAGCAGTCCACCTAAACCTCACGCTTTTGTAAGTCTTCCTGTACAAAGTAGCTCTTTGTAAGCTTAATGGGGGGACTTGTAACCAGAATTTTACGGTTCCTCCTATATATATTTAATGAGTTTACATCCCATATATTTATATTTCCGGGATTCAAAGCTTTTTAAATAAAAATTCTTATATTATAGAGTTATTATTTATTAGTCCACCCAAACCTCACGCTTTTGTGAGTCTTCCTGTACAAAGTAGTGTTTTTTTTCACCTTGGTGAGAATATGTATAGACCACACCCGGTTATTGTATCGGGAAAAGGAAATTATCTTTACACTACAGATGGTAGAGAAATATTTGATGCTTCGTCGGGTGCTGCGGTTTCTTGTCTTGGCCATGGTAATAAGAGAGTTATTCGGAGAATAGCTGCCCAATTGAAAACACTTCCTTACGCATCTTCTACCTTCTGATCTAATCTTCCAGCTGAAGAGTTATCTAAGGCACTTATTCTATCTACGAATGGAGTAATGTGTAAGGTTTATCTGTGTTGTTCAGGCTCTGAGGCAACAGAGGCTGGTATAAAAGCCTCACTCTATTATCATTGAGTACTAGATAAAAATACTTCCCGGGATATTATTATATCTAGAGATAGATCTTATCATGGTAATACTATTGGTGCTTTAAGTATATCTGGTTTTGCTTCCCGGAAGGAACCTTACATTCCTTTACTTATGAAGAATGTTTATTTTGTTAGTTCATGTTACCCGTACCGTCAAAGGTATGAGGGTGAATCGGATGCTGCTTTCGTCGCTAGAAAAGCTGCTGAACTTGATGCCTTAATCTTAAAGTTAGGTCCCGAAAAAGTCAGTACTTTCATAGCGGAACCTGTTGTGGGCGCCGCTCTTGGGTGTGTTCCATTTGTTCCTGGTTATCTTAAAGCTATGCAAATCGTTTGCCGCAAATACGGGGTTCATTTTATGATTGACGAGGTAATGTGCGGAATGGGTCGAACTGGTACTTTACATGCATGGCAAGCAGAACCAGATTTTACACCCGATATCCAGACTATGGGTAAAGGGCTTGGGGCTGGATACCAGCCTATTGGAGCTATGATGATATCTGAAAATATCTTTAAAGCCTTTAGTCAAAGTGGGGAATTTGTTCATGGGCAAACCTACGAAGGAATGCCTGTGCAAGCAGCGGCTGCTCTTGAAGTTCTCAGAATTATTCAAGATAAAAATTTGGTACCTCGTGTAGCTAAAGTAGGTATATACTTCATGAAACGTTTAAAATATGTGCTAGGTGACCACCCTAATGTAGGAGATATTCGAGGTATAGGTTTATTCATAGGTATAGAAATTGTGGAAGATAAGTTGACAAAAAAACCTTTTAATCCTCAACTTAGAGTTGCACCTATGCTTCAAAAATTGGCTCTATCATCTCCATATAATATGACAATCTATCAAAGCACTGGGACTGTTGATGGTATTTGTGGTGATCATATTATGCTTGCTCCTTCCTTTTTGGTAACTAAAAAGGATATAGATCATATCGTGGATGTGCTTTCAAAGGTAATTAACAAAACTTTTGAGAATATTGACACGAAATAGATATTATCTTTTTCTAGTTTATAATAATTATTTAGCAGTCCATCTAAACCTTACGCTTTTGTGAATCTTCCTGTACAATCTTAGTAATGGCTATAGGTATATAGTGTATGTCAATACAAATAAATTTTCAATGATTATTGATATGTTGATTAAAACCAGCCCTATGAATTTTTTAGTTTTGTTCTAATATTAAGTATGTCTTACTTAATATTTTATATTTAAGATTTTCAATTTTTATATGAATAGTGGGGGGGGGAGACCCTAAAAGGTCCCCCCCTTACTTCTAGACCATCTAAATCTTCTTATCTCCTTATGATATAAATATAAGTAGTAGGGATAAAATATAGTAATTTGAATAAGTTCTACGAGTTGGCTTCGGAGCAGTAGTTAGGTTGTAAACTGGCCTTCGGAGAAGTAGTGAGTCATACTTTATTAGCTTTTAATATAATTAATTTAAAAAGGATAAAATCCTGTTAGAGGTATTATTTGTAAGGATAATATAATTTATAATATAAATATTTTAATATACCCAGCGCTCTCTTTATTATTACTTTTTAACGAAGTAAGACGGGCTACGTAAGAGTAGTTAGCATGGTAGGGTAGTTCGCTATACTTTGGATTAAGGCGCAAGCTCCATTTTTTGTCCTGCCGACTTATCCGAAGGTCACTTCCTGCCTGCTCCGAAGGCCGAAGTACCCCTCCAGGTATACGGGTATTGAAGGCCAGATAAGGTGGATATAGTTCAATCGGTAGAGCGACTGTATGTGGCACAGTAAGTTCCCTGTTCGAGCCAGGGTATCCACCCATCCAGTATATTCTTTATCTATTTTTCTTAAATAGGCGTTTAAGTAATATTAGGTTTAGGTATTACTAGTACCTTATCTTAAAGAGATTTTGGGTCGTCTTTTATCCCTTCATTCTTGGGCCGCAGCCCAAATCTCTAAAGAAGTCTTTCTAATTGTAACTAAGAAAAAGTAGCAGAGAGACTTCTATATTTTTTGTCCTATTTCAGCCTGCCTGACTTCGTAGAAGTACTTCTACGAAGTCAGGCAGGCCAGGAGGAGAAGTCAGTATGGACAGGACAAAAAAATAGGGGGGGGGGTAAGCCAGGATAGTTTAATAGGTTAAAACTTTAATTTCATATATTAATAATGAGAATTCGATTTTCTCTCCCGGCTAAAGTAGCAAGCAAGTCCCCGCCGAAGGAGGCTTCGCGGCTTCGCTGAAGTGAGGCGGTCTTACATCTTCTACTTTTTTTTTACTAAATTATGATAATACTTTCTACACTTTCATTACTAATTTCGAATGCCGTCAGTTTAAGACGAGATATGTCAATTCTTTATAATAGAATTGCCATAATAGCTTTATTATATGCTATATTACAAAGCTTAATAAGTTTTTCTATAATAAGTAATAGTGGTATAGGTATTCATGGAGGTCTATTCCATGTGACAAATATAACACAGGTTTTTCATATTTTTCTATATTTTATTAGTATATTAATCTTACAGTTGACTAGTTTTTATCCTAGAAAAGTTTGAGTAGCTGAACACTCATCGTTAAAAGATCTTTTCTTAAACAAATTTGTATATTATAGAACGAAAATTATTAATAAAATGGGAGAACATTTAAAAATTATCGAATACCCTTTAATATTATTATTTATAATAAGTGGTGCTGTATTTTTAATGTCTACAAATGATTTTATTTCTATATTTCTTTCAATAGAGTTACAAAGTTATGGTTTGTATTTACTAAGTACAATATATAGAAATTCCGAATTGTCTACAACTGGAGGTTTAATTTACTTTTTATTAGGTGGTTTAAGCTCCTGTTTTATTTTATTAGGGACAAGTTTACTTTATGCCAATTCAGGTACAACTAATATGGACAGTTTATATGTAATTACTAGTATTAGTGATCTAAATAATTATGGAAATTCTTGATATAACGATGACTATATAAATTTTTCTCTCCTAATCTTTACTATCGGATTTTTATTTAAAGTTAGTGCCGCTCCATTTCACTTCTGATCACCTGCCAAAAGATTTGGGAAATCTTTTATTCGGGTAAAACTATCAAACTCCGGGGACACCCTTGAACTTCTGGTACCAAGCTGTAACTGAAAGGTTACAAGTGGATGAAGTAATTACTCATGTATGGTAATAAGCCAAAAGAATCCTGAAAAGGAGGTGGGCAATCGCGGATCTAAATCAGATATGCTATCTGTAAAAGAGCAACGAGTGTACGATAATTGACCTGCTGTTTTTTCACCAGGTTTAAGATGCATTCTACCTGGTTTCGAAAGAAACCGGATAATCAAAATCCCTTCTAAACAGATTATTCAAACACAACTTTTTTCGACGGCTCCGAAGTCTAAGGCTCCGTCGACGAAGTCGCTATTAAATACTATTTCTAATACTACAATTCACAATGAATTTATACTCTCACCTTGATTTGTTACTGGTTTCGCTGACGCGGAAGGATGTTTTATGCTTACAATTAGAAGAGATTCTAGGCAAGCTTCAGGATGAAGAATAGAAGCTAACTTTGTTATTAATTTACACAAAAGGGATGTTGAGCTGTTGAAACTTATTCAAACCTATTTTGGTGGGGTAGGTAGAATCAGTAAAGAAAGAAATGGTTGTATTGATTTCACAGTTAGTTCTATCAACCAAATCTTTACTCAAGTAATACCTCATTTTGATAAATACCCACTAATTACTCAAAAAAATGCGGACTATTTATTATTTAAAGAGGCAGTTATGATTATGAAACAGGGGGAACACTTAACAGCTTCTGGTCTACAAGCTATTTATTAATATACGGGCTACTCTGAATAAAGGGTTAACACCAGTATTAATGGAAGCTTTCCCTAGTACAGTAGCAATACCAAGACCTCAAGTTAATAATATAGACGTGCAATCAATAGATCCTTATTGAGTAGCCGGGTTTACCTCAGGTGATGGTACTTTTATTGTAAGTATAAGAGATTCTAAATCTAGTCAAACAAATGGACGTGTATCTCTAACTTTTGCCTTGATTCAACACTCACGTGATGAACTTTTAATGAAAAGTTTAGTAGATTATTTTGGGTTTGGTAAGGCTTATACTTACAAAAATAATACTGAGTTTAAGTCTCAGAGTTTAGTCGATAATTTCGAAAAGGTAATACCTTTCTTTAAAAATTACCCTATTCTAGGTGTAAAATCATTAGATTTCGCAGATTGATGTAAGGTAGCTACGTTTATTAATAATAAAGCTCATTTAACTAAGGAAGGCTTTAATAATATTCGTAAAATTGGTATGAACAAAAGTAGAATTAATGATTCTTAGATAGCCTCCGGAACAAAGTTCGCGCTATTCCTACCTTAGGGTGACTTGTTGCTTCGTAGGTAGGGTGGATATAAAAATCAATAAAGTTGTTGTATTTAATAATCTGCATGATAAATTTGAGTGCCGTGGATGTTTACGATGCAATTCCAACTATAGTAACAACATTTGTAGCAATTGTAGCTAAAATATCTATCTTTATATTTTTATTAGAATTAGTTTATTACACTAATCATTATTTATTTAATTTTAATTGAACTTATGGTTTACTTGTAAGTTCATTACTTTCATTAATAGTAGGAACGGTTTTAGGTTTAACTCAGTTTAGAATAAAAAGATTATTAGCATACAGACGTCATTAAAATATTATTGTGTAATATTATTGTGTGCTTAACTGCCAAACTCCGGGGAAACCTTAAAGCTTCTGATACCAAACTATATGCGAAAGCATATAAGTGGATGAAGTAATTACTCATGTATGGTAACAACGCAGAAGATAACCGAAAGGGCAATAGGCAATCGCGGATCTAAGTCAAACATAAACAATATTTGTTTGTAAAAGAGCAACGAGTAGACGGTAGTTGTTGCAAAGTTATATTTTTTAATTAAGGCTATAACTTGCAATTAAGGTGTATTCTATTTGAGTAAGCCGTTATATATTGAGCTTTACTGCTGCCTTATCTCTCTCTCAGTAACTAAGTTCGAGATCAGGAGAAGTTTAGCCTCCATTATATGCCTAAGTATATTAAGTTACTATTACATACTTCTAATCCCACTCCTAGCTTCGCAGGAAGGATTCCTTTAGTGCTGCGAAGCCAGCCACCCTAGAGTATTCTCGCAGAGAAATAGGTAAACTATAGTTAGTATGAAAGAGGTCCAAATCCTCACTTAAATAGTTTTTTGCAGCACTTCTCCCTTTCCTAGTGGCTATCATAATGCTTTTACATTGAAGATCCTGACCTGCCTTTCTTTTGGTAATATTAACTCTATTTTACACTCTTGGTTTAGTCGTTGCTTGTTTTACATTTTTTATACGCACGCTAGCCACAAGCTTTAGGAAATACTCAAATACACCCCCTACGAGAAGGATTAGTTCATACGTGGAAGTTGCTTCATGTACTCAACTTAATTATGTTGTTCAACAGCTGAGACAGCCTCATAGTAGATAGGACTCTATAACAAAAAGCAATACCAAGTAGATGACCTCAATAACCATTTATAGTGGCCTAGCAAGTAGCTTGCTGAGTCCCGGAGGGACTAGCCTTAAGTGAGTAAGGCTGAAATTAGTGCCAGAAGCGAAGCGTCGTAGTAGCTCAGATCAGATCAGTGAAAGGCGTAACGTGGATTATGTTAAGAGTAGCTGAATTATCAGTAGACTATTATGAATAAGGTGGTCGCTGGAACAGTGTACCAATGATGTGTAAAGGAAAAACCGTGTAGCCTCTCAAGTACATTGTCCGGTCGTAGTGGATAGGTAGGTACAAGGACGACTTCTATATTTTTTAGAGACTAGTTTCTAAGAAATAAAGCAACAAGAGCCGGCTCCCCTTTAAATGTAGGCCTATCAGGAGGCAAGGTTTGAGCAACCAGGGCAACTAAATATAAATTATAAATCATGAAAACAACACTTAATAATTACAAATTTTCACAATTTAGCAAAAATTTTTCAGCTAGTCCTTTTTCCTCAATTAATTTTACCTTTAGAAAGTTTACTACAAGCACTTTTAATGTGGGCGCGAGCTCTAGTAAAACTATTAATCCTTTCTTTATAACTGGGTTGACAGACGGTGAAGGTAGTTTTATATCTACTATTAGAATGAACTCTAGCTACCGTATGGGTTGACGGGTTGAAGTTCTTTTTCAGATAGCACTTCACCAAAAAGATCTGGATCTTTTAAAAGCTATACAAGCTTATTTTAGTGGTATAGGATCTATAGTAAAAGCCGATAAAGATATGTATGCTTTCAAAGTAACTTCTTTAAAAGAAATATTGACTTATATAATTCCTCATTTTGATATGTACCCTTTAATAACTCAAAAAAAGGCAGACTATCTTTTATTTAAAGATATCGCTTTAATGATGAAAAAAGGAGATCATCTAAATAAGGAAGGTTTACAATCTATAGTGGATATACGTGCTACACTAAATTTAGGTCTTTCTGAAGTCCTACAGACGGCTTTCCCTAAAACTATTCCAGTAATTCGGTTTTTAGTATCTAAACAAGAAATACCTAATCCAGAATGATTGGCTGGTTTTGTAACAGGAGAAGGTACCTTCTTGGCTTCGCCACCCCCTTCCTCTCCTTGAATGAAATGTAAGAGGAAGGAGGGTTGTGAAAATAAATAAAAGTCGTAATAAGGCTGGTGTAGGTGTTCAATTAGTTTTCCAAGTCGCTCAACATGTACGGGATACAGAATTACTAAAAAGTTTTGTGTCATACTTCAAATGCGGTCAATATGTTAGACCAACTCAAGAAAAATGAGGATACTTTCAGTGTACTAGATTTTTGGACAATTATGATATAATCAAAGAATTCTTTATTAATCATCCTATTCAAGGGTCAAAAGCAAAAGATTTCTCAGATTGAGTTGAAGTAGCTGAAATGATTAAAAAGGGAGACCACTTAACTGAAGAAGGATCTTCTAAGATTGTCAATATAAAAGCTGGAATGAATACAGGTAGAAAGTAAATATTTTATCTGTCTTAGCTAGGAGGGGGGAGGTGTTTACCTCCCCCTCTTCCCTCTAGGTTAGCAGATGTGTGTACAACGATATATATGGTACGGTTTACAGTATGTGACAGTACTATTTCTCATTTAGGTTTTATTTTATTAGCTCTTACTAT